TAGTGGCTGCCATGCAGATGCAGTTTACAAGTTATAGTGGCTGCCATCTAGGATGCTGATGACTATCTTTAAAACTGGAAACTTAAACTACTGGAGCAAGCGAGCAGAACATCAGCTCCCCTTCATAAGAACGGTGATTACTAAGATGCTCTTACATTGCAACCTGATTTCAAAATTCATTCAGGAAAACCTAAATGATGAAAGACTAGTAGTTAAAAAGTTCAGTATCAATATAAGTATCTTTAGTGCAATTGTGATCAAATTCAGGGGACCCGTCAATCTTAACTGGTTTTGCTCAATGTTGTCTTAAAAAGTTGCTAGAAAGGATTGCCAAGAAAACATGTAGCACCCTAGAAATAATTTATAAACATCAGGGATTTCAAAGTCAGGTCAGTTTTCACCTAAAAGTGGTAAGTCTAACAAAAGTAAAATGCAGTTCTCTTTTGCACTTTCATAAATACAGCTATTTCAGTTACACTGAATTTTTCTTTATACCCCAAACAATAGCCAGGACAATGCCCCAATCCTTCATTTTTCAGATAAGGACAGGCTGTGGTAGTAAATTCGGGATAATTCCAGGCTGCTAAACACAAGGCCTATGAAAAGCAGCCGTGCTGCTGAAGAAATCTGTGTTGTCACTCTTTGGTACAGGTTGAATCCTTTCTGTAGCTATGCAGCAAATCAAGTTGGGGACCATGACCTGACAAAAAAACACCCCCATGCCAGGTGGTTCCCTGCTCAGTATCATGCTCGTGGGAGGTGATAAGGCAGGGTGCTTTTTCAGCAGCAATGCCAACTTGAATCATTTCTCAAAACAAAACCTCGAGTTTTCTGGAGCATTCTGTGTGGTTTTCATGTACTTCCATTATGTGCAACAAATGCTTCCAATCTGGGTTGGACTGAGTTCAAATCTTGAAAGTCTGCAGAACGGTATGGTTCACAGAATCTCCCAGACAGGTGTCTCACTCTGGCTTGAGGTTTAAAAGACATTTTCAAAACAGAGATATGAAAAGCTTTCTTCCTTTAACTGTGTGGCCAAGGAACACACACAAAAACGTTCAGATCAGACAAAAGCTTCAGTCAGTTCATACAACTGCCATTGCACCATTAACTTCAATGGAATGGCAATGATGCATATAAGCACAGTGCAACCCATTAGGTTTACATAACCTGCATTTTAAATCCCCTATTCTACATTTATTTGAAAATTTGCCAGCTTGCCTCCGAACAAGTGAAGGCACCAAATCCAAAACAAAAACTAAATTACATCCTGACTTCACAGGACATACATGTTCATGCCAAGGTGCATTAAAACCCAGCAACATTCAACTCCTTAACTAGAGACTTAGGGTACTCACAATGTACTAGGAGTGAGCTTGAACTTCTATCTAGTGCAATAGATGAAGGCACTCTTGTAAAGGAGAAGGCTGTATCTCTTAACACTGATCACCTGCACTTCCTTAATTAGTAAAAACATTCATTTAAGAAAAGATGCACTTAAAACTAGTATTATTTGAGTAAACAATATTTAACAGTACTGTAACAGCACTGAAAAAAAGAAACCGTACAGAAGCCAATATGCCACAACAGACTATCTCTGAAGCAGCCGCAAACACCGGGTGAACTAGTATCTCAAGGTAGCACATAAAAATAACAATAGATGATTGCCAGAAAATTAAATGGGAGAAATTGCAGATGACCAAAGGGAGGCCTCCAACGTCACTGTGCCATGTCCTTCCTATTGCAGGCACTACATCCAAAGACACTTTAAAAATACTGAGTTCCAATTTGAAAGTAGATAGACCCCAGTCTCTCTTCTTTTGTTGCTCCGATGAGGTGGCCATTTCAGAATTCGTCTTTCCTGGTGGCAATTCACAATACAGACTTACTACAACTCTTCTGTTAGGATTGGTGGCAGCAGTGTCCAAGACCGCATTTAACAAAGCAACACTCATCCTGTAACACTTGTCCCATAACAGTACAGAACTCTTCAGAAGTGCTATGTTTTGATGCAATTCTCAAACTTGGGGATTTAAATAACCTGTCTCTTGCAATGGTCACTATACAGTTAATGCACACTTATGCTACTTCCCTTTTTTGAAGGTACAAGAATCTTACTAAAGATTACATAAATATACTGCAGATTACTGTGACACTGCAGGGAATACTGAGAATTAATACTATCTTGCCAGGGGAAATACCAACTAAAGGAAAAAGATATATCTGAGGATACAATGGATCGATTTACTCCATGCTTCGAGTATTAAATTTATGCCCATGGCTTCAGCACATGTACTGTCAAGATTTGGAAAGAGGACACCAAAAGGATGCCAAGCGGTCAATCAACACAGCAATTCTTACATTCTCATGCAATGTGCTACCTATTTAGAAACTACAGCCAAGTTAAGTTTCACTGCCCATGAGCTAACAATTAACAGTTTCTTTTAAACCAGTCTTCTTAAGGAATAGAGATTTACACCACAATACAATCAACATGGTGCTGTAAACCCCAACAGGTATTGAATCTTTGGCAGCTGAGACCCACATTTCTCAAGGATGATTGAGGACATTCCAACTTCTGTGAAAACAGGTTGTTACACAGAGCAGGAAGACCCAAGCTGGTGCTATAACTCTTACTGCAAAATGAAACATCCAATGGTAGAAAACAAAAAGATGGTATCAAATGGATCAGAAATTATGAAAATACTTGAAATAGACCCATTAAGAGCACTTGTGGTTCACACCAAAGGTCTGTCCAACCTCCAGAAATGGCCAGAATTTGTCTAACAACTGTAGTATCTAAAGTAGGCCAAGTAGCAGAAAACACTGTTAACCTTAAGAAGCAGTATGGTTTGCATTGCTATTTCTATTAACACTTCTTTAGTAGCATCTACAGACTAAATCAACTTCATTTATACAGATGTATAATAAAAAGCTAGAACTCCCAAGGCTCACCATCTTACTTGTATCTATTTAACTCCAACACTACAAACCTTAGCCTGGGATAAAGAGCTCATCAAGAACTATAGCCTTCACTTTAAACCGTAACAAGATCAGTATTTAGGACTACATCAGAGGTTTGTACAGAGCAAGACTAAAATTCAGAGGGAATCACCATTGCACAACACAAAAGCATTTCCCTTCTACTTAAGATTACATCCCAAATCCACTTCCAAAAACTTTTATAAGGTGCAATAATTTGACTACAGTGTCCACCTAGTAGGGACATGCACTAAATTCCTCTCTGAACCCCTACCAAATCACTTCAGGGACAAACAGAAGTGGGGTATTTACTTTTAATCCATGGCACCTTCCGTGTAGCCAATATAACTGGTATTCTGCTTTACAGATGTGAACTAAGGAATATCCAGTTTCAAATAAATTTACTTTTGCTGCCTGCAGTATAATGAACAGACTCAAAGAAAACAAAACCTCAGAGATATCACCTTCCTTCTGACTTCCACACTAGGAAAGCAAATAAAATCCCTCACAGTGTATTTGAAGGCAACATCAAGACTCCTGCAGTATGTATAACTCGGTAGCAATTTCAAACATTTTTATACAAAAGTTGATAAAACAGATCAAAATTTGGCTCTTGGAAGGTTTGTTGAGTTCTTAAAGACAGTCTGGCTATTAAAAGAGGTACTAAAATGATTTACTATATACACTGTCTTAAACCTCTATTAAATACAGAGCGTAATGGAATATTTCTACAATATTCATCTAGCCCATTTTTTGGACTGAGCATTTCTGTATCTTTTTCCTTCTCTCCCTCACTAAGACCCTTTCTCCTTCTGATTCCCATTTCCTCCTCTTCAGTCCAACTCCACCTTTCTCTGGACTAATAATCAGCACACATCACAAAAATGTCAAAATGGAAGCAGTGGAAGCACCTGCATAAAAAGGAGATGCCATTTCTTCTCTCGGCTATCAAACATTTTTTTTTCAGACTGAAGAGAATCTATTTTATGTTCTAGTATACGACCATGTTCTTTTATGGGGAGTTGGTTGAGCATGCATATTCCTAGATGACTGGACATTTGCCCCTTTCTCTTCTGAGGGAGAAAAGTAGGACAGACCAGATCTCTGCATAAAAATTAAAGAGAACTTAGACTTTTCACCATATGGTTCTACACTAAAGCAGCATATTACACATTTCCTCAACCCTGAACCAAACCAGACAGACCATCAATCTGTAACAGGGCTGCTCTGTTTGTTTTGTCTTTTATGTAAAATACTTTACACTTTATGAAGAGCAACAGCAACTTCTGTTAGCAAGCACGGTGGTGACCAAAAGCACTAATGGAAGAAAAAATAAATCAAGGACTAAATATAAGGTTTATAAAGTTTTACTTTTTTCTCTCCTCTCAAAGACTTTACTTCTCACGCAGTAGGAAGTGACCCAAGTCAACAGAAACAAAGGTCCTGACATAAAAAGGATATAATTTGGAGGAAGGAAGTTCCAGCTTAAGACCTGATTGGCTAGTGCAAGATAACGCTGAAACACTGAAGACATCTGAGCATTGAGGTTTTCACGTCTGCTGAATTCCTGAAGTACCTCTACCGTGAGCATGAAGATCTGCCGCAGATCGTCCTCCTACAGTCAGGACGAACACAATATATTGAGTATCTCAGTCATTAATTAAAATGCTGATTAAAAAGGAATACTTTTCTAAAGAGAAAATAATTTTCTGGTTTCACCCTATTTTTCATTACAATACAGAAAATATTCTGAAGTTGTCAGTGAAAATCCCCTCCTTTTGCCAAAATCAATTGATTACATTTGCAAAGACTATGAAAAAAATCTTCACATAAATGTCAGTTGTTAAAAGATTAAAAAACAGTATGTTTTTAAATAACTGGTGGAAAAGAGTTGGTCTTTGGCGTGAAAAAAAAGTTGGTAAGTTGTTCCACAACAGTCAGTTTAAAGCAATGGCTTCACAAAAACATTTCTGACTCGCCAAACAATACATCTGAGACAACCAGACTACACCATCTGCAATAATATTTTTAAATACATACATAGCTCTCCTTGGCTTTAAACCAAAGCTATATTTAAGACTATCATTGTTCCACAGAGTATTCGTTTTGTTTGCAATTGGTAGCCAAGGAATTAGAGAGCCCAACCGCATAAAGATCTGTAGCTCTACATTCACAAAATGGGCACAAAGGGATTGCACCTTCTTGATACAAGTTTTTTAAAAATACATTATCAATTTTCCTGAAGTAGCCAGTATCTGCATTTGTAGTATTTGTTCTAATAAATGCTTTTAAAGACACAGTGCACCTGAATGCACCTGGCACAGGAAAGTACTTCTGCTTCTCCATGTTTAAATTTTAGAAAGAGAGGTATCATATATCAATACAGAACTAGTTTACCTGAAATATACGTTTACAGTTACCATGGAACTCCATGCTTAGTCCAATGTTGCTGGTTTTACTTGAACTTGAGAACTCGCTCAACAACGCCGTTAGAATGGAACAGGCCAAAGTTTGCTATAAAAAAAATAAGGGGGAATAATATAACTAAAAGATGTCCAAGAATGTAATAGCACCTATAGTGTCCTTCAATTTTTTTATTAGCATTTTAATATGACTATTGGTTCTGTTCCTTCTAACACAAACGAAACAATTCAAAATTTCAGGAATATAGATCCTTGGATGAACCATCTCCAGAATCATCAGGGCTCCATCTTACACAAAAGAAACTCGAGTATTTGAGCAATATCAAAGCTGGCACCTGTGCAGTCTTCACTACAAAACAGAAACCAACTTATTGCAAACCATTTTCCAGCCTTGCCGTTTACTTTCTCTCCCTGTGCACAGGGCTTTACAGGTATTAGTTTCAGGGAAGATTCTTTCCATTTATTTCAATTGATCTAATAGTTCAGGTCACGTCACTTTGAAGTTGGTTTTGGCCCTTCTTTGCTTTTGTTACACTTACCACGTTGGTATTTGATCATGATTAAATTTATAGCACCAGAAGTGACAGAAGTTTGTCAAAAGCAACACTTGCAATAATACACCGTCTACATCTTTTCCCTCTCCCTCATCAAAAAAAATTGAGAGGAATCCACAGAAACCTCTGATTTTTGAAAGGTCTTTGATATTTCCCTCAAAAGCACAATATTCACAAGCCTCAGAAATAACCTTTACGACTACTCTTGTAAAACAATGTCTCTGAAGCAATATAAAAATCAGTGAGAAAAAGGCATGTTAATTTCACAGAGACAGATTCATGAAGGCTGAAGGTTTAAGTATCCTTTTCATTCTCAAAATTTAAGGTAAGGTAAATCAAATGCTTATCCTAAAACACAACTTAAAAGTCAACCTTCTTTATGAAACACATGGCTCCAGCCTTTGTTGCTGTTTTCTTAAATATAAAAAAAAGGCTTTTTTCCTGATGCCAAAGGCCAGTAACCATCATCACCGGTTTTAATATCTGTTAACCCATCTTTGCACACAAAAGGGAGTACGTATTGCTCACTGGAGATGCAAGTAGTACTTCAGAAGTGTGCCATACACGACTGTAACAAGCACAATAGAAAGTGTATACCAGTGAAATGAAAACATCTTTTTGTTAAAGAGATGTTCTTAACAAAAAACTTCACAATTACTGGCTATCCTCCCAGACTGTTTGGAGCCAAGGTGCTCGGGATGGACAGAAGGATAGGAATTGTTAAAGGGTCATGCATGCCAGCAAGTGTCCAGGGGTTAAACAGAAATATGCACACTACCTCTGAACACCCGAAAGATTAAAGTGGAGATGATACTATTTATGCAAGCTCATACAACAGCTGAGACCAGTGCCATCCACCCACCAACTGCAACATCTTTGTTCAGAAATGCCTCTGAAGTCAGTACCTTGACCCCCCCAGACAACTAGTTATCTTAGCCAGTATACACTAAATTAATGTTCTTACTTGCTAAATAAGTCCCAGACAGATCAAACATAGTGGCTTCACAATAATATATGAGGTTTCTCTTCTATGCAATAAAGCTGTATCAGTACAGGAGACAGCATATTGCTGATCAGTTGCTAAGTACAAGCTTTACATTTTAAAGAAATAACTGTTTATTTCAAGTGGACTATTTCTCATCTACAGTCACCTCTGTCAAATGACACATATGACAAAAGCAATGTTCAGCCAGTGAAAAACAGCATTACATTTTAAACTATTCTAGTAAAAGTTCAACTTTGTCAGTTCTATACTATAAGTATTTCTAATTAGCTGAAACATTTCAATATTTTATTTCCAAATTTCTGTGTAAGGTATTCACACAACAAATATTTTTTCTGTAGAGGAAATCCTGACTTGATCTAATAATAAAAAAAATGAAAATCAGTGTAGACTAGCATTGAGTTTTAAATCCAACATTAGAAGCTCCATATGAAAAGAATTAACCTGGGTTAAAAAATCCAATCAACCAACCAACCAAAAACCTAAAAACACTTGAAGTTTGACTTTGGAACAATGCTTCAGATAAAAATACATGTTTTTAAAGAAATAATGCAAAGCTGCCAGAGAACACTGTTCAATTTCATTATGTGCCAGGAGATTCAGAGGTCTTACAAGACTCTCTAAATAGTTTAAAATACAGGCTTTTATTTGATGCTTAAATTACTGACACACTCACATTTTTCAGCTCAAAGCATCCATGACATAAGGACATCATTAGTTGTACACTTTGATGCTCTAAAATATACCCTGATTAACAAGTGGTATCAGTGGCTCCAATAGTACAATGGCCTGGGTAAAGCTAAGCTGCTTCTGTGTTACCATGCAAAGATCTTCACACCAAGCCACCATCCAGACCACCACAGGACAAGCAGGGCAGCAAAGCAGACCACCTATCACTTGCAGCTGGTTGCCAATTATTGGAAAATAAATCAGTAACTTCGAATTACAGATAAGGAGTAAGAGGAAAACAATGTCTGTTCCCACCATGATTACAAACAGTTAATATTAGTTAAAATAAGAGATATTTTCTCCTTCCTTTTTCTCCAGTCTGTTTATATGTATATAATAATGTATCCTTTCTCTTTGGAGAGTAATCTGTTACTGCATGATACAAGTGTGTTTCAGTTTTTTTGTGCACTTTTCTCCTGATTCCAAGAAGAAATTTTATGGAAGGTAAAATTTTATGACTGATGGTAAAGACATCTCTTGGAAGGTGGAAAGAGCAATGGATGCAGCTAGGCTGACTGAATCTACTGAGAGCCCAATAAAGCAGCTTGAGCAGTGACCTGTCTCCCTAATTTCCATGAGAGCTATTTTAGGTAGTTCTGAGACATCACTACCTGCTTTGTGCATGACAGAAGTTAACTAAAGATTTATACAATTTATTCCCTTCAACATCCTAGTTCATGGCATACACCAGGGCACAATGCATCCCTCTGCTCTCTTCCCTCCTACTGAGGACCCAGCATACCATCTACTTCCTCAGCTTGGTATTTCAATACCTGGGCTGCAAATCCTGCCCCATTGCCCTACCATCCCAAGGGTGCTGTGTGCAATATGTGCACACTCATGCGATCCTGTCACCATCTGCACCTGCATTTACCCCTTGCATCCATGAGGAATTGTAAGAACTCCTGTATATCCACGTCACCAGAGCAGGAAGAGAAGATATTGGCCAGTAATTTAAAATTTACTGCAACAACAGGCTGAGACAAGATAGCTTGAGACTGGTTTCCTAGAAGGCAGGTGCCAGCCCCCATGAGTTCAGCTTTTAGACAAGACCTGAACAAGACAGATCACAGGACCTGTAACCAGTCCTTGCAATGTCAAGCATTTGCATAGAGCTATGCAAAACTACCACTGGCTTCCCAAGAGTGGCATATGGCTGCAGGAATATTAACTAACTACTGGCTTAAAGGAACATGTGCCCTGCCATCTATTAAACTCTCCTGAATACACAGTAATACTTCAGAAACTCTGGAATATAGCTTAAGTACACTTTACTAAAAATAAAATTTGGCTTTTCATAAAGTAACTTTACTCAAAGTTAACTACTTATATTTTGAATTATATTTTTTTAATTGACAGGTATGTTTGGTGTGAAGACACTGATGACATCAACACAAATACTATTAGAAGAAAGATTTTAAAAATCTGAAAAACAACATAATTTCAGAGAAACCAGTACTGGTGTTCTCTGTGAACTAAAATTACTTCCTCTTAAACATAAGAAAATTGAATGCAACTAATACATATCCAGTTCTAGGGTGGAGTGCTTTTTCTGTTGTTTTGTAGTGGGGTTTTGGGTTCTTTTATAAAGGTTTTTGCCACACCACAGAAGAGATCAACAATCCAAGTTAGTAATACCACACAGTAATAAGTAGAAAATGCACGTGACTCTGGGCATCATATTAAAAGCCATATCTGAATGTCTATTGTGCAGTAATGCCATTAACTTCATACCAGTAAGAGTACACCTCTGAACCCAGTTTGACTCACTCGCTAGCAATTTCACCAGTTCTGCCACAAGTACATACCCAAACAATAACCCCATCTAACAAAATAAAATCCTCCTCTTGTTGAGAGCGGATTGCCTCTGAGAATAGCTTGGCACTCACCCCAGTTAGCTTTATTACCAGGAATAAACTTTATGAAAGATCACTATACATAAAATAGACTCTCAGCTGCTCAAACAGAAGATCAATGGGACTTGTGATAAGAGATTAACTTGGCAATCAGACACCCAGTGGTAACATCGTTTTAGTGGTTTTCTTTTTAAATTCCTCTAATGAAACAGACACTACAGAAAGACTGTGCACCATTTTAACAGTAAACAACATTTATACATCATTCATAAAACTCAGATGCAAAAGGTAAATGCAATTTATTCCTCCAAATGGAATGCCCCCTATAAAAAAAGTTAAACCCATAATGTTTGAAGGGATTTCACACTTGTGCCTGTGCTGCCCATGGAATAAATGAACTGCTTCATTTGAGGGTAGTTAGGTTACAAAGCATCTGAAGGGGAGAAGAGTTCAAATACAGCTTAGGAAAAAATGGACATGTGGTACACCAGCTCTGAGGCAGAAAAGCCAACAAAGCCAAATGAACTACAACACCAAAACAGTTTCCTCTGCTCTAAAATTCAGAGCAGAGATACACTTAGGTTGTCAGAGGTTTGATTAAATAATTTATTTTACTGCAAAACCCAAGCTATCATGCAATGCCCTCTGCAAGTGTTATTTATACCTACAGAAAAAGTTGTAAGCATATTTAAAAGAATGAAGGTCTTGCCTTCACAGAAAAAAATCATAGTATCTACCCTGTGACATTAGATCACTGCCAGCCTGAATATGCATTTAGAGGACTTTTTGTCTCCACCTGTACAACGTAAACTCTGTTACTGAAATCAAAGAGAATTGGTTTTATATTTAATAATATCCCTAAAATATCTACATTTAACTTGCACAAGAGCAGGAAGAATTTAAAAAAAAAAATCGAAAAAAATCTATCAGATTTACTAGAATTTGCTGT